ATGTTATTAGAAATGTCTTTCACTCCAACTCATGTATACACATGCAGTAGGCACTACCAAAATGTGCTTTAAAAATCAAGTTTCTAAGTGAGTGTATCCGATGAAATTTTGCAATATCCCTTATCCAGGTAATGACGCCACGTGTACAATCTTTGTTGGGCAATCAGATCCCAACCTAATCTGAAACCTGGGACAGCTCCAATATCCACCAGGAGTTCAATGCCACAGTGCCCACAAGTCTTGGTGACCCCTGGCCCATGCATTTTGTCTTTGTATATTACTTGTGATAGTTCATAGCCTTTGAGACTGAGCAAATATTTGATTCGTAGAGGAGAGAGAGAAAGAGAGAGAGAGCAAGAGAGGAAAAGAAAAGAGAAAAATGGCCACACAAGCTCTGGTATCATCTTCATCTTTAACAGCCTCAAAGGAGGCTGCAAGGCATTTGCTAGGAGGAAAGGCAGTCCAATCTCCATTTGGGTCAAGAAAATCTGCTTCCTTTGTAGTCAGGGCAGCCTCTACACCCCCTGTTAAGGTATGTAATATTTGTAGCAAATTGATGGTTCATTACTGAAACTCAATCAATCTTACAGGTCTTGACATTCTCTGTGTTTTGATTTCAGCAAGGAGCAGACAGACAATTGTGGTTTGCATCCAAGCAAAGCCTTACTTACTTGGATGGCAGGTAATACTTTGTGCATGCCCTCTCATACAGATTCTTGATTATGAAATTATTTTCGACCTTAACACTGTCACGCGATGTTAGTGACTCATTCATGTTACTAATATATACCATAGAATATGAATTTATCGTACATCCATATTATAGCAAATTGATGGTTCATTACTGAAACTCAATCAATCTTACAGGTCTTGACATTCTCTGTGTTTTGATTTCAGCAAGGAGCAGACAGACAATTGTGGTTTGCATCCAAGCAAAGCCTTACTTACTTGGATGGCAGGTAATACTTTGTGCATGCCCTCTCATACAGATTCTCGATTATGAAATTATTTTCGACCTTAACACTGTCACGCGATGTTAGTGACTCATTCATGTTACTAATATATACCCTAGAATATGAATTTATCGTACATCCATATTATAACACAGGTAACATGTAGTTCAAGTCATAGCAACTGAAGAATCAAATTATTTTTAAATCTTGGTACATGCAATATAATTATTGGAATACTTTTCCTACATAATATATGTGTACTTAAAACATTTGGGCGCATTACTTAAATGAAGTACTTTAATTTGGAAAATGGTTGAATTTGTCTTTCCAGCCTTCCTGGTGACTATGGATTTGATCCACTGGGGCTGTCTGACCCAGAAGGCACAGGAGGGTTCATTGAGCCAAGATGGCTAGCGTATGGAGAGGTCATCAATGGACGTTATGCCATGCTGGGTGCGATTGGTGCCATAGCACCAGAGATTCTTGGAAAGCTTGGCCTAATCCCACCAGAGACAGCCCTCCCCTGGTTCCAAACAGGGGTGATCCCCCCAGCTGGAACCTACAACTACTGGGCTGACCCTTATACACTCTTTGTCTTTGAGATGGCCCTCATGGGCTTTGCAGAGCACAGGAGGTTCCAGGACTGGGCCAATCCAGGGTCCATGGGCAGGCAGTACTTTTTGGGCTTTGAGAAGTACTTGGGTGGCTCAGGGGACCCAGCTTACCCGGGTGGGCCCATCTTCAACCCTCTGGGATTTGGCAAAGATGAGAAGTCTTTGAAGGACTTGAAGCTCAAGGAGGTGAAGAATGGGAGGCTGGCTATGTTGGCAATTTTGGGTTACTTCATACAAGGCCTTGTGACTGGTGTGGGGCCCTTCCAGAACCTTCTGGATCATTTGGCTGACCCTGTGAACAACAACGTCTTGACCAGCCTCAAGTTCCATTGACAGAGATTTGTACAATATATCTTGGTTGCTTTGGAACATGATGACCCTTTGGGTCTCTCTCTCCTCTTTCTCTTCTTCCTATCTCATTGTAAGTTATGTGAGAACAATTTGTTGTTATTATCTGTTTGTGACTCTCTGTAAGAAATGACATGTTAAAAGAGCTATTTAGAACCCTAATTGATGCCTACATGTTTAGCTTTAGATTTCATAGTTAACAAACATATGGTGCATGCATGGATTTGTTACTAGTTAATGCCTTCTTTTGAATAAGATAGCTTAAATTATAAGGGGATGATGGTTTTTCATACACATACACACTATCAAGGTGTTATGAGAATTCGAATATGAGACTAGTAGTCTAAATAACTAGTTAATTCCTTGTTTTTGGTTTTTGGGAGTTTTAAAAGTTTAGGGGGAGATTGACTAACTACTCTCACCACCAATGTCTGGATAGACCCACAACCTCGAGCCGGAAGATAGTATATCTGATAACTGAAACATGAAAATAAGGTTGGTATAAACAAAACTTAACTGGCATTATGAATTGGAAGTATAATTAGAAAGCACATAATCTCATGACTAAAAAAAAAAGAAAAAAAAAGGAAAAGTAGATTCATATTATACATTCATACCAAGTATAGTAATTGCAAACCAAAGATTTGTACAGGATACAATATTGTTAATCACATTTTTCACAAAAATGAGATTAATGTTGGACTGATGTATGCAAATGGGGTCTCTTCTACTTATTTCCATACCATAAATCTTTATTTTCTAATGGCTTATTGATGACATGTTCATTAGCAAGATTACTTTATAAGCATGTAATTATGACAAAAATTAAGTTTCATATAACAAAACATTAAGTAACAATGATATTTCTAACCATTATAATGATGATAACAATGCACTTTCTTTACCATAAAGCATTATAAAGTCGTCTCAGATCTCAATCAGTCAAGCTCATAAAAAAATAAATAAAAATAAAAAAAATAAAAAAAAATAAAAAAAATAAAAAAAAATAAAAAAAATAAAAAAAATGAAAATCACACACCCAGATATTCAAGATCCAATCTGACTTTTCCTTTTAAAAAATATCCAATGTAACTTTAGTGGGCTGGGGCCCAACCCAAGTGGGTTCTTCACAATATCAGTATGAGCGCGTAGAGAATAAGTTATTCTCATCTCCATTCGCACAATTTTTCCAAAGAAAGCAAAGTTAGTTCCTTCATGCCTTCCTCTTTGCTCTAACGGGAGTAGCATAAAATTTTAAAAGAAGGGGACGCCGAGATTTTGAGCTTCGCTCTCACGCACACAGCCTTCAGCATCCCTTCAAAGTTTTGCTCCAGATCTATTACGGTGCGTCTTCAGTTTTCTCACATCTTCCATGGATCTATTGCATGTGTGAAATCTATAATTCCAAGTTGTAATATTTGAATTCATGGATCTGCTTCTGTTTTTTTAATTTTGTTTTTAATAATCGGATCTGATTGAGTGAGTATATGCTTGTTTATGCTCTGTTATTAGTGGATCTGATGCGGTTGGAGAGTAGAAATCAAACAATAAACAACTTCATGCTCTAATTTGTTAACCCAAATGGTTATTTTGCTAATCCAGCTAAAAAATTTATTCTTTATCGTTGGCTGATACTGGGTTTTTTTGTATTTCTTTTGAAACTTTGTGTAGATTTATTGCTGAATGCATCTGTAAGATTAGCGTAGATCCACTGCTTACTCCAACCTCTGGTGAGTGCTATTTTTCTCGATTTCGATGGCGATATCGAATCCGAGAGTGACACTGACCTATATCAAATGGGCTTTGCTTGTTTTGGCTCTATTTGCGCACACCTGTAATGGGTTTTATCTCCCGGGAAGCTACATGCATACATATTCCAAAGCGCAAGAAATCATTACCAAAGTTAACTCCTTAACTTCTATAGAGACTGAGCTGCCCTTCAGCTACTACAGTCTCCCTTATTGCAAACCCCCTGAAGGTATCAAGAAAAGCGCTGAGAATCTCGGGGAACTCCTCATGGGAGATGAGATCGAGAACTCCGCTTACCGCTTTAAAATGAATGTCAATGAGACTCTTTACCTATGTACCACACACCCTTTGACTGAGCACGACGTAAAGCTGCTGAAACAAAGAACCCGTGATCTGTATCAGGTCAACATGATCCTTGATAATTTGCCGGCAATGAGATATGCTTACCAAAATGGGGTTAAGATTCAGTGGACTGGGTTTCCTGTTGGGTACACTTCACCCAACAGTAAAGATGATTACATAATCAATCACCTGAAGTTCAGGGTTTTGATTCACGAGTATGAAGGGAGCGGTGTTCAGATAATTGGGACTGGGGAAGAAGGTCCGGGTGTCATTTCCGAAGCTGAAAAGAAAAAGGCATCTGGATTTGAGATTGTTGGCTTTGAGGTTTACCCTTGTAGCGTTAAATACGACCCTGACACCATGAAGAAAAAATCCATGTACCAAAGTATCCCAGCTGTAAATTGCCCCTCAGAGCTTGAAAAGTTTCAAATAATAAGGGAGCAAGAGAAAGTATCATTCACTTATGAGGTTGAGTTTGTGAAAAGTGATATAAGATGGCCATCAAGGTGGGATGCTTATCTGAAGATGGAGGGGGCTCGTGTGCACTGGTTCTCTATCTTGAATTCATTAATGGTGATCTTTTTCCTCGCTGGTATTGTCTTTGTCATATTCCTAAGGACTGTGAGGAGGGATTTAACAAGATATGAAGAACTGGACAAAGAATCTCAAGCTCAGATGAATGAGGAGCTCTCAGGGTGGAAGCTTGTTGTGGGAGATGTGTTCAGAGAACCAGATTCTTCAAAGCTTCTTTGTGTTATGGTTGGAGATGGGGTTCAGATTACAGGGATGGCAGTTGTCACTATCATTTTTGCAGCATTTGGTTTCATGTCGCCAGCTTCACGAGGAATGCTATTGACAGGAATGATCATTCTATATCTTTTCCTTGGGATTATTGCTGGTTATGTTGCTGTCCGTATGTGGAGAACCATAAAGGGAACTTCCGAAGGGTGGAGATCAGTTTCCTGGTTTGTGGCATGCTTCTTTCCTGGAATCGTCTTTCTTATTCTTACGGTACTGAACTTCATTCTATGGGGCAGCAATAGTACTGGTGCTCTTCCCATTTCCTTGTTTTTTGTACTCTTGTCTCTCTGGTTCTGCATTTCAGTGCCTCTCACTCTTCTCGGAGGGTTCTTAGGCACACGAGCTGAGGCAATTCAATATCCTGTGAGAACCAACCAGATTCCAAGGGAAATTCCTGCGCGCAAATATCCATCATGGCTTCTTGTTCTTGGTGCTGGGACACTTCCATTTGGAACCCTCTTCATTGAACTTTTCTTCATCCTTTCTAGCATCTGGCTTGGGAGGTTCTATTATGTCTTTGGTTTCCTGCTTATAGTGCTTCTGTTGTTGGTTATTGTTTGTGCTGAAGTTTCAGTGGTTCTCACCTACATGCATCTTTGTGTGGAGGATTGGAGGTGGTGGTGGAAGGCTTTCTTTGCTTCAGGTTCTGTTTCCCTTTATGTGTTCCTGTACTCCATCAATTACTTGGTATTTGACCTGCAGAGTTTGAGTGGGCCTGTGTCGGCTATCCTTTACCTTGGTTATTCATTGATCATGGCAACTGCAATCATGTTGTCAACTGGCACAATTGGCTTTCTCATGTCTTTCTACTTTGTTCATTACCTCTTCTCATCCGTAAAGATCGATTAAAAGTGTTGACTGGAATTCTTCATTAAACAGCTGGGAAATGAGTCTGCTATGTAGGAAGAAGTATTTTTGGTTATTCATTTTGGTCTTTACTTGGTTGCATTGAAAGCTGATTGTATTGCAGCATCTCAAGGGGCTCTCCGAGTATATGGCAAGAAGACCTATTTTCTGTTTGCTGCCTCGCTTGTGATATGATCAGCGGCAGATTCTCCTTTCACCCCACACATATCCGATTTGGTTTCTTACCACTTCACTAGTGTTGCGCTTTACTTTAGTTTAATCACATTCTACTAGAAAGTTGTAATTCGTGGACCTTCAGTCCTTGTATTATCTTTTATTTCATATCTGAATAGAAAGGTGAATTAGATAATTCTTTCGAATCCCAACAACCGTTTGATTTTGTGCTGGTAAATTTTTTAATTTGATACACCTCTTTGATGTTTCCTTATGGGATTTAATTCAGTTGAACTGTTGTTTTGTTTTAGTCGGAAGCTGAATTACAGGCTCATACAGTCCCACTGTTCATTGGTTAGTGAAGCTTGCCAACTTCAGGAGAGATTTTTGGTTGTCACCACCCTTATATAATCATGTGTCTATATCTTTCATCTCCAGGGTTGTATACAACTGGTGATAGGGTGGATTATATCTTTCATCTCCATGGTTGTATACAACTGGTGATAGGGTAGGGTGGATTTTAATATAGGGTGGATTTTAATAACGCTAGAGCCAAGGAGTCCATGGTTTGAGGGTGGGCACAATTTTGGGTCAATTTGGTCTAATCGTCCAACTTGGTCATAGTGAGTTGGGTTGGACTAAAAATGAGCGGGTCTTGAATTCAAAAAATCATAAATCGCTATGTATGGATTAGAACCACGGGTTGGAACCAAAATTTAAAAATAAGCTTAATTTTGAGTTAACCTGACCGAACTGCCTAATCCGATCACAAGAAGTTTGGATTGAGTTGAGTTAGCCTAATAATGAGCTGGTCTTGAATCTAAGAAATCATAAATAGCTATATATCGGATTGAGTTACGGATTGAGACTAAAACCGACCCAATTCAACCCATGCCTACCCTTATGGTTAGGAAAGATTTTTGAGTGTCACCAGTCGTATAAAACCATGCCCAAAAGTCCATGATTGACTCCATAGTCCATAGTAACAAAGCACCTTGAATAAATTCAGGAGTGTGCCATGAGCAGTCCAAAAAAGAAATAACCACTAGCAACAAGCATAACTAAGCTGCCAAAGTTTTACACCATAACAAAAATCTTAAATTATGAAACTCCACAAGCAAACAGCAAGAAGACCTATTTTCTGTTTGCTGCCTCGCTTGTGATATGATCAGCGGCAGATTCTCCTTTCACCCCACACATATCCGATTTGGTTTCTTACCACTTCACTAGTGTTGCGCTTTACTTTAGTTTAATCACATTCTACTAGAAAGTTGTAATTCGTGGACCTTCAGTCCTTGTATTATCTTTTATTTCATATCTGAATAGAAAGGTGAATTAGATAATTCTTTCGAATCCCAACAACCGTTTGATTTTGTGCTGGTAAATTTTTTAATTTGATACACCTCTTTGATGTTTCCTTATGGGATTTAATTCAGTTGAACTGTTGTTTTGTTTTAGTCGGAAGCTGAATTACAGGCTCATACAGTCCCACTGTTCATTGGTTAGTGAAGCTTGCCAACTTCAGGAGAGATTTTTGGTTGTCACCACCCTTATATAATCATGTGTCTATATCTTTCATCTCCAGGGTTGTATACAACTGGTGATAGGGTGGATTATATCTTTCATCTCCATGGTTGTATACAACTGGTGATAGGGTAGGGTGGATTTTAATATAGGGTGGATTTTAATAACGCTAGAGCCAAGGAGTCCATGGTTTGAGGGTGGGCACAATTTTGGGTCAATTTGGTCTAATCGTCCAACTTGGTCATAGTGAGTTGGGTTGGACTAAAAATGAGCGGGTCTTGAATTCAAAAAATCATAAATCGCTATGTATGGATTAGAACCACGGGTTGGAACCAAAATTTAAAAATAAGCTTAATTTTGAGTTAACCTGACCGAACTGCCTAATCCGATCACAAGAAGTTTGGATTGAGTTGAGTTAGCCTAATAATGAGCTGGTCTTGAATCTAAGAAATCATAAATAGCTATATATCGGATTGAGTTACGGATTGAGACTAAAACCGACCCAATTCAACCCATGCCTACCCTTATGGTTAGGAAAGATTTTTGAGTGTCACCAGTCGTATAAAACCATGCCCAAAAGTCCATGATTGACTCCATAGTCCATAGTAACAAAGCACCTTGAATACATTCAAGAGTGTGCCATGAGCAGTCAAAAAAAGAAATAACCACTAGCAAAGCAGAACTAAGCTGCCAAAGTTTTACACCAGAACAAAAATCTTAAATTATGAAACTCCACAAGCAAACAACATAAAGGTTGTTTTGTTCTTTCATCCAGAGTGCCTTAGCACACCATGTAGATGTGGGTTGATGAAATTAAGTTCTATGACTGGAGGTTCCCATTTCAGCAGTATCCAAAACCAAGTAAGCTTCTGCAGGGTCATTATCCAAACTCTGCTCCATTATCTTGTCATCGTCAGCAAGAACATAGAAATCTTCCACAGACGAATTTTCTGAATTTCCATGTGAGATCAGGTGGCCTTCAGTTTCGTGATAAGTTTCCCTCTGAGCTTCAAACCCACCAAGTTGGTCTTCAAGACTAAGCTGCATGCTGGTTTCCTTAGTTATGTCATATGCAGGGAATTGATCTTTCTGAGGTATTTTTGACACCATAGTTCCTAAACCAGCTACAACATTTCGAAATACGCCTGCAGAGTCTACTGCAACACTTCCAAGAAACTGATCAGCAAGCTTTTTACATGCATTATCTAGTGCATAATCCATATATCTTCGTTCGGCATCCTGACGCAATTTTAATCGCTTCTCAGCCTGCAAAATTATGGTGTATTGAGGATAAGTTTCATCAGGTACTTTACCCCTTAGTGTTTTTCTTGCAACATGCCACCAAAAAAACTAAAGAATAGAGAACAAGGTTCATATTTATCAGCTTAAGTTCCCAAATAAATTTCCAAACTTGAAAACTTGCCTCAATTTGCAGACTAAGTTTTTCTTCAACTTCCGTCTGGTTTAGAGCTTTCTTTATTAGTTTAGAAGAATGCCTATGTATTGAGACACATCCCACACAAATAAAAATTCACAGCCTTTAGCAGATAATGCACTTGAAAATGGAATTGTAATTCTGAAGAAAGACGTGTTTAGTGGAGATAAAAGGAGCAGAGCAAATCATACTTTTTCTGGGATCGCAACGAGCACAAGGAAGTGGTACTAACGCTTCTGCCTTCCAAGTCCTGTGAAACTGAGATCTCTTTCGTTTAGTGGTACTGAAAATCTAAGTCATCTCAAAAACATGATATTTTATTCACAACTCACAAGTTGGTTTTTCATCATTACATCAGGTGTTTAACTACTCTCTCTCCCCCCTCTTTTATTTTTGGGTTTTACTTTCCCGGGTGGGCCCCTCTTCAACCCTCTGGGATTTGGCAAAGATGAGAAGTCTTTGAAGGAGTTGAAGCTCAAGGAGGTGAAGAATGGGAGGCTGGCTATGTTGGCAATTTTGGGTTACTTCATACAAGGCCTTGTGACTGGTGTGGGGCCCTTCCAGAACCTTCTGGATCATTTGGCTGACCCTGTGAACAACAACGTCTTGACCAGCCTCAAGTTCCATTGACAGAGATTTGTAAAATATATCTTGGTTGCTTGGAACATGATGACCCTTTGGGTCTCTCTCTCCCCTTTCTCTTCTTCCTATCTCATTGTAAGTTATGTGAGAACACTTTGTTGTTATTATCTGTTTGTGACTCTCTGTAAGAAATGACATGTTAAAAGAGCTATTTAGAACCCTAATTGATGCTACATGTTCAGCTTTAGATTTCATAGTTAACAAACATATGGTGCATGGATTTGTTACTAGTTAATGCCTTCTTTTGAGTAAGATAGTTTAAATTATAAGGGGATGATGGTTTCTCATACATATACACACTATCAAGGTGTTATGAGAATTTGAACATGAGACTAGTAGTCTAAATAACTAGTTAATTCCTTTTTTTGGGGGAGATTGGCTACTCTCACCACGGACGTCTGGATAGACTCACAACCTCGAGTCGGAAGATAGTATATCTGATAACTGAAGCATGAAAATAAGGTTGGTATAAACAAAAAAACTTAATTGGCATTATGAATTGGAAGTAGAATTAGAAAGCACATAATCTCATGACTAAAAAAAAAAGAAAAAAAAAGGAAAAGTAGATTCATATTATACATTCATACCAAGTATAGTAATTGCAAACCAAAGATTTGTAAACTAAAACCCATAAACCAAAGATTTGTACAGGATATATACAATATTGTCAATCACATTTTTCACAAAAATGAGATTCATGTCGGACTGATGTATGCAAATGGGGTCTCTTCTACTTATTTCCATACCATAAATCTTTATTTTCTAATGGCTTCTTGATGACATGTTCATTAGCAAGATTACTTTATAAGCATGTAATTATGACAAAAATTAAGTTTCATGTAACAAAACATTAAGTAACAATGATATTTTTAACCATTATAATGATGATAACAATGCACTTTCTTTACCATAAGAGCAAGTGCAGCCATGAGCCTAGCCCAAGGCTGGGGGGAGAAAAGCAAAAAAAGGAGTTTCCAGCGGTGAGCCCAAGCCGGGGCAAGGTGCGGGTCCCAGCAAGTCGGGCTGGCCCGAAGGCCAGTTCAGCCCGAGGTCCAAAACTCGGTTTGGGGTGACGTCAGGATGACGTCATCGCTACAATACGCGCTACAGTACTCGCGTGCTACAGTGCCACTAAAGTCCACGTGTCATGCTCTGAGCTCTCCGATCAAATTTTTTTCTCCAATCCAACGGCAGCCAATTTTTGTGCAATAAAAAAATGAAAAAAAATTGAATTTTTTAAAAAAAAATTACTGATTTTTTTTCTATAAATACCAAAATTTTATCCGATTGAGATATGAATTTTATAATAAATATTGACATGTACGAACCCAAAAATCTTATCTGAAAATATTATCCAAATTAATTATTGTGGTAAAAAAAATTGTGAAAAAAACAAAAAAATGAATAGTAATTGCCCTTAGCCATGGCAACGGGTGGAAACACAAAATATACTATTTGCAAGGGCAACCACTATTCACGTGAATAGTGGCTGCCCTAGCTCCCCTTGCCACTAAAGCATTATAAAGTCGTCTCACTCTCAGATCTCAGTCGGTCAAGCTCATAAAAAAATTAAAATAAATAAAATAAATAAATAAAATGAAAATCACACACCCAGATATTCAAGATCCAATCTAGCTTTTCCTTAAAAAAAAAAAAATTCCAATGTAACTTTAGCCAAGTGGGTTTTTCACAATACCAATATGAGCGCGTAGAGAATATGTTATTCTCATCTCCATTCGCACCATTTTTCCAAAGAAAGCAAAGTTAGTTCCTTCACGCCTTCCTCTTTGCTCTAACGGGAGTAGCATAAAATTTTAAAAGAAGGGTACGCCGAGATTTTGAGCTTCGCTCTCACGCACACAGCCTTCAGCATCCCTTCAAAGTTCTGCTCCAGATCTATTACGGTGCGTCTTCAATTTTCTCACATCTTCCATGGATCTATTGCATGTGTGAAATCTATAATTCCAAGTTGTAATATTTGAATTCATGGATCTGCTTCTGTTTTTTTAATTTTGTTTTTAATAATCGGATCTGATTGAGTGAGTATATGCTTGTTTATGCTCTGTTATTAGTGTATCTGATGCGAGTTAGAAGCTGCACCCTTTTAAGAATTGGGAATGGAAACTGCCAAGTGACCAACTTCTTTGGCCTTACTTGGAAATTCAGAAGTGCACCCAATGCATGTAGCTGGTTGGCATGAGAAATATCCACTTTTGTGTTTGCCTTATGGAACCTCCACCCTTGTCTCGAATTCTCATATGATAAGCCAGCTCAAGATCAATGGCACTACCACCATTGCACAACCCACTTGAGTGATGCATTATCATGACTTGGAAATGCAGAATTTCACCCAAGTACATGGTTGTGTTACCCACCAACTTTGCCCCATGATCAAAACCCGCAAATTCATCGGCAACTTCAAAAATTCTGTGGCCTCCGCCTTTGTCACGAATTGCCATGTGGTAGCCCAACGCAAGAGCAACAATATTGCCACCATTGCAAAGCCCAGGTGAGCTGTGCATTACATCAAACAGGTGGAGTGCATGTCTGCCACTGAAATCTTGTGTCACATATGGAGCAAGAACACCCACAATTGATGCAAGGTCCTTCAAGAAATGCAACTCCCCACTTTCAGAGGCTACAATACCACACTGCAGAGCAATGGGTTCAACTTCCTTCAGTGACATTGAAGTCTCACTTGTCATGGCATCATCATCAGAAACAATAAATCCAGAAACCAACTCACAAGATTTGGTCTTTCTTGAAAGAGAAACCAAATTGCAAATTTTGCTAACAGGTGGATCTTCCTTTGCTGCATTAGAAAAGAGATCCATATCAGGAATGGACTTCAGCGTTGTTTTTGCAGCAGAACAAAGGCCCATGGCATGAATGGGCGTCGGCTCTTGCAAGAACGGTTGAATCCCAACAAGACCCACTTCACAGAACACAGAGGGGTCACCATTCTTGGGGACGACATCTGAAACAACCTTCTCTGTCTCAACAAAACTGGGCCTTGGAAGTCGCAGTAAGCACTAAATCATCACCGGAAACATGAGACGCAGAAACCAAATTGCAAGCATGGAACATGGGATAGTCGGAACAACTCACGCCAAAAGCAGACTGTGGAGTCCTAGCAAGACCCACTGCCCTGACCAGCGAATCTTCAACTTGTTCGCTTACCAGAGATGAAAAGGCATGGACTTGAGGCGGGTTGGTACTCTGGAACACCGAGACAACATTTTTTGACCCAACGATGGCCATTGGAAAAGTCTGGAACTTGGGACCATCGGAAAAGGCAGCCTCGTCGGTGCTTGGCAACAAAGAGTCACATGAAGCAAGAACCGTTGGGGACAGCAAATGGGGCTTGAGATCCCAAGAAAACTTGTGATCCAAAGCATCGATGGTCTCCTGAAAACGGTTCAAGATTTGAGCCAGAAGTGCATCAATTCGATCAAATGAGGCCTCCATGGCCGGAGTTAACGTATCGGTGTCCATGGCGGCTCGAGAAACGTACTCGAGAAGGGAAGCGTAGGACCACTGGCTGATACCAATGTTAGACCCCGTCCAACCTTGAACCAAATGTACAGAGAGAATATACTATTTCTATTACTCAAAACACAATACAATTCAACATCCTTACAATACTAATTAAACTCCTAATATAGTCAATTAATTGCTAATACAAAAGACTGAAACACCCTTAGCATCCTATCACTCTGAACCGGAGGAGAACATCACCAACGCTCTTTCTGGCCCAAGTGGGATCTATTGCATGTGTGAAATCTATAATTCCAAGTTGTAATATTTGAATTCATGGATCTGCTTCTGTTTTTTTAATTTTGTTTTTAATAATCGGATCTGATTGAGTGAGTATATGCTTGTTTATGCTCTGTTATTAGTGGATCTGATGCGGTTGGAGAGTAGAAATCAAACAATAAACAACTTCATGCTCTAATTTGTTAACCCAAATGGTTATTTTGCTAATCCAGCTCAAAAATTTATTCTTTATTGTTGGCTGATACGGGGTTTTTTTGTATTTCTTTTGAAACTTTGTGTAGATTTATTGCTGAATGCATCTGTAAGACTAGCGTAGATCCACTGCTTACTCCAACCTCTGGTGAGTGCTATTTTTCTCGATTTCGATGGCGATATCGAATCCGAGAGTGACACTGACCTATATCAAATGGGCTTTGCTTGTTTTGGCTCTATTTGCGCACACCTGTAATGGGTTTTATCTCCCGGGAAGCTACATGCATACATATTCCAAAGCGCAAGAAATCATTACCAAAGTTAACTCCTTAACTTCTATAGAGACTGAGCTGCCCTTCAGCTACTACAGTCTCCCTTATTGCAAACCCCCTGATGGTATCAAGAAAAGCGCTGAGAATCTCGGGGAACTCCTCATGGGAGATGAGATCGAGAATTCCGCTTACCGCTTTAAAATGAATGTCAATGAGACTCTTTACCTATGTACCACACACCCTTTGACTGAGCACGACGTAAAGCTGCTGAAACAAAGAACCCGTGATCTGTATCAGGTCAACATGATCCTTGATAATTTGCCGGCGATGAGATATGCTTACCAAAATGGGGTTAAGATTCAGTGGACTGGGTTTCCTGTTGGGTACACTCCACCCAACAGTAAAGATGATTACATAATCAATCATCCACCCAACAGTAAAGATGATTACATAATCAATCACCTGAAGTTCAGGGTTTTGATTCACGAGTATGAAGGGAGTGGTGTGCAGATAATTGGGACTGGGGAAGAAGGTCCGGGTGTCATTTCCGAAGCTGAAAAGAAAAAGGCATCTGGGTATGAGATTGTTGGCTTTGAGGTTTACCCTTGTAGCGTTAAATACGACCCTGACACCATGAAGAAAAAATCCATGTACCAAAGTATCCCAGCTGTAAATTGCCCCTCAGAGCTTGAAAAGTTTCAAATAATAAGGGAGCAAGAGAAAGTATCATTCACTTATGAGGTTGAGTTTGTGAAAAGTGATATAAGATGGCCATCAAGGTGGGATGCTTATCTGAAGATGGAGGGGGCTCGTGTGCACTGGTTCTCTATCTTGAATTCATTAATGGTGATCTTTTTCCTCGCTGGTATTGTCTTTGTCATATTCCTAAGGACTGTGAGGAGGGATTTAACAAGATATGAAGAACTGGACAAAGAATCTCAAGCTCAGATGAATGAGGAGCTCTCAGGGTGGAAGCTTGTTGTGGGAGATGTGTTCAGAGAACCAGATTCTTCAAAGCTTCTTTGTGTTATGGTTGGAGATGGGGTTCAGATTACAGGGATGGCAGTTGTCACTATCATTTTTGCAGCATTTGGTTTCATGTCGCCAGCTTCACAAGGAATGCTATTGACAGGAATGATCATTCTATATCTTTTCCTTGGGATTATTGCCGGTTATGTTGCTGTCCGTATGTGGAGAACTATAAAGGGAACTTCCGAAGGGTGGAGATCAGTTTCCTGGTTTGTGGCATGCTTCTTTCCTGGAATCGTCTTTCTTATTCTTACGGTACTGAACTTCATTCTATGGGGCAGCAATAGTACTGGTGCTCTTCCCATTTCCTTGTTTTTTGTACTCTTGCCCCTCTGGTTCTGCATTTCAGTGCCTCTCACTCTTCTCGGAGGGTTCTTAGGCACACGAGCTGAGGCAATTCAATTTCCTGTGAGAACCAACCAGATTCCAAGGGAAATTCCTGTGCGCAAATATCCATCATGGCTTCTTATTCTCGGTGCTGGGACGCTTCCATTTGGAACCCTCTTCATTGAACTTTTCTTCATCCTTTCTAGCATCTGGCTTGGGAGGTTCTATCATGTCTTTGGTTTCCTGCTTATAGTGCTTCTGTTGTTGGTTATTGTTTGTGCTGAAGTTTCAGTGGTTCTCACCTACATGCATCTTTGTGTGGAGGATTGGAGGTGGTGGTGGAAGGCTTTCTTTGCTTCAGGTTCTGTTTCCCTTTATGTGTTCCTGTACTCCATCAATTACTTGGTATTTGACCTGCAGATGAGGTTGAGTGGGCCTGTGTCGGCTATCCTTTACCTTGGTTATTCATTGATCATGGCAACTGCAATCATGTTGTCAACTGGCACAATTGGCTTTCTCATGTCTTTCTACTTTGTTCATTACCTCTTCTCATCCGTAAAGATCGATTAAAAGTGTTGACTGGAATTCTTCATTAAACAGCTGGGAAATGAGTCTGCTATGTAGGAAGAAGTATTTTTGGTTATTCATTTTGGTCTTTACTTGGTTGCATTGAAAGCTGATTGTATTGCAGCATCTCAAGGGGCTCTCCGAGTATATGGCAAGAAGACCTATTTTCTGTTTGCTGCCTCGCTTGTGATATGATCAGCGGCAGATTCTCCTTTCACCCCACACATATCCGATTTGGTTTCTTACCACTTCACTAGTGTTGCGCTTTACTTTAGTTTAATCACATTCTACTAGAAAGTTGTAATTCGTGGACCTTCAGTCCTTGTATTATCTTTTATTTCATATCTGAATAGAAAGGAGAATTAGATAATTCTTTCGAATCCCAACAACCGGTTGATTTTGTGCTGGTAAATTTTTACACCTCTTTAATGTTTCATTATGGGATTTAATTCTGTTGAACTGTTGTTTTGTTTTAGTCGGAAGCTGAATTACAGGCTCATACAGTCCCACTGTTCATTGGTTAGTGAAGCTTGCCAACTTCAGGAGAGATTTTTGGTTGTCACCACCCTTATATAATCATGTGTCTATATCTTTCATCTCCAGGGTTGTATACAACTGGTGATAGGGTGGATTGTGTCTATATCTTTCATCTCCATGGTTGTATACAACTGGTGATAGGGTAGGGTGGATTTTAATAACGCTAGAGCCAAGGAGTCCATGGTTTGAGGGTGGGCACAATTTTGGGTCAATTTGGTCTAATCGTCCAACTTGGTCATAGTGAGTTGGGTTGGACTAAAAATGAGCGGGTCTTGAATTCAAAAAATCATAAATCGCTATGTATGGATTAGAACCACGGGTTGGAACCAAAATTTAAAAATAAGCTTAATTTTGAGTTAACCTGACCGAATTGCCTAATCCGATCACAAGAAGTTTGGATTGAGTTGAGTTAGCCTAATAATCTCGCGGAGTTGTGAGAGTCATGAAGTGGGGAGAAGGCTGACTGGGATTCGAAGGGATCCTGGGCCGCACGGGTGTGTTTGTGCGAGCGAAATTTGTGTTTTGCTTCCGCCGCGCCGCGTACACTCGTCCCGTGACACTTAGCACACCATGTTGATGTGGGTTGATGAAATTAAGTTCTATGACTGGAGGTTCCCATTTCAGCAGTATCCAAAACCAAGTAAGCTTCTGCAGGGTCATTATCCAAACTCTGCTCCATTATCTTGTCATCGTCAGCAAGAACATAGAAATCTTCCACAGACGAATTTTCTGAATTTCCATGTGAGATCAGGTGGCCTTCAGTTTCGTGATAAGTTTCCCTCTGAGCTTCAAACCCACCAAGTTGGTCTTCAAGACTAAGCTGCATGCTGGTTTCCTTAGTTATGTCATATGCAGGGAATTGATCTTTCTGAGGTATTTTTGACACCATAGTTCCTAAACCAGCTACAACATTTCGAAATACGCCTGCAGAGTCTACTGCAACACTTCCAAGAAACTGATCAGCAAGCTTTTTACATGCATTATCTAGTGCATAATCCATATATCTTCGTTCGGCATCCTGACGCAATTTTAATCGCTTCTCAGCCTGCAAAATTATGGTGTATTGAGGATAAGTTTCATCAGGTACTTTACCCCTTTGTGTTTTTCTTGCAACATGCCACCAAAAAACTAAAGAACAGAGAACAAGGTTCATATTTATCAGCTTAAGTTCCCAAATAAATTTCCAAACTTGAAAACTTGCCTCAATTTGCAGACTAAGTTTTTCTTCAACTTCCGTCTGGTTTAGAGCTTTCTTTATTAGTTTAGAAGAATGCCTATGTATTGAGACACATCCCACACAAATAAAAATTCACAGCCTTTAGCAGATAATGCACTTGAAAATGGAATTGTAATTCTGAAGAAAGACGTGTTTAGTGGAGATAAAAGGAGCAGAGCAAATCATACTTTTTCTGGGATCGCAACGAGCACAAGGAAGTGGTACTAACGCTTCTGCCTTCCAAGTCCTGTGAAACTGAGATCTCTTTCGTTTAGTGGTACTGAAAATCTAAGTCAGCTCAAAAACATGATATTTTATTCACAACTCACAAGTTAGTTTTTCATCATTACATCAGGTGTTTAACTACTCTCTCTCCCCCTCTTTTATTTTTGTGTTTTACTTTCCTGCTCAATTTTTTCTTCAGTTATTTACAAAAGAACTCGTTTAGAGGTATGTTTTTACATTTGCTAGTTTTGATTAAGAACTTACAAGTTTCCGGAACCTCCTTCCACTCCTTCACCGAGTACTTTCCAAGTCTGTATTTCTGCAATATGATTACACATCAATGATCAAACACTTAACAACAAGAATTTCTCCTTAAATAACATCAATTAGTGAATGGATCAAACAGACCTGGAGGTGGCTCTTCAAGTGGTAAAGAGTTATTCCCTTGACACCCATTTTCTGCAGAAGCTTTTTCGGAGTTGCCTCTGCAAATGTAATATGTGACATGTTCAGTTGACTGAAAACAAGATACTATATATGTGTATGCATAGGTATATATATATACAACAAAGCCAAGGGAGATGGGTTGCTTACTGTGGGGGCCACCAAGCTGATTGATAGCATCAACAAAGCAGGCATGAAGGTGAGGAGTCCATCGAAGGCGAGGTTTGAAGTTCGAACTCAGAACCGAAGGTGTTTGAAGATCATGGGAAAGGTCCTCTTCTTCTTCTTCCTCCTCCTCGTCCTCCTCTTCACCCTCAACAACAACACTGTCATCACTCTGTGTGACAGTGGGAGTTGGGGGTCCTTGAAAATCTTGCTCATCATCACCAAAATAATCAAAACCATAACCAACCATCCTTTCTTTTTCTTCTTCTTCTTCCTGAGGCTGAAGAGCAGCAGCCTGCAGAAGCTGACTATTATATGTGTGATTTGGAACACCACTTCCTCCTCCTCCTCCTCTTCTATGAAACATCTACCTACAAACCCAGATAGAATAAAAACAGATAAGAAAACTTACAAACACAAACCCCCAACAACCAGATAAAGCCCCAAAAACACAAACTGATGAGGTTGGACTGGTTTGAACTTTGAACAGCTAGCTCTTTCTCTGTTATTTCCTTCCACACAACAACCAGGTGAAAAAACCGATGTTTAGGGCCTTGCAGCACAGAATTGGAGGTCTACACAGATGATCATGATTTACATGAGAAGCAGCACAGCAGAGGCCAATGACAGCAGGGCTTGCCAGAGATGAGCATAGCAGAGAGGCCTTTGATTTCTACTGCATGAGAGGCGAAACGTGGAAGCCTCTACTTACTTAGTTTCCTGTAATTAATTGTCTTCACCTTCTTCATTGCTCCTCCCAAGAATTTAATGCCAAACTGCTCTCTGGTTTTCAGGCATGGCTTGCTTTTCAGCTCTCTGTTTGTTAAGCTCATTTAGTGTTGGTTGGTGCACAGCAGTTATTATGATGCATTTAATGTTTTTATTTTCTTTCTTTCCTGACAACCTCTTTCATTGAGAAGAATTTACATAATTTTCTAGGATACAAGATAAGAGCAACTACAATGGTGGGATGTAAAACGGGTGTATATAATTTACACCTGCAATGCAATGGTGGGATGTATAAGGGTGTATATATTTCGGAGGTGTAAGAGGATGTAAATGTGGCTTTACACTCCCGAATTTACACATAATCATTGGAGTTGCTCCATGTGCTATATCTTCAACCCAAATTCCAAACTAATAATATTCCAATAATAATAAAAATTCCAATTAGAAGAACATGCAAAAAGTGAGCAATATGGTTGCAAATCTTTTGTGGAACAGGCAAAGGGTTGAAAAAGCTCCCATTGCAAATCTCATGTTCTTTTTGGATCCATGTGGTGGGCATAGATAGAGTGAAGGTGAAGGGTCCTGTCTTCAAGTTCAGGTCAATGTGATGGTGATCTTATTAAAATAAAATAAAATAAAATAAAATAAAATAAAATAAAATAGTTATGATTATTTAATTTTGAGGAGTCTTCTCCATTGTGTGGTATTGTATAACGGTACACCAACATAATGAATACAGCAAATTACAGCTCTCCCCAAAAAGTTTCCATCACTCCTTTATCCTTAAAGAAGAGTGCAAATAACAATAATATTTTAACTTGTGTTTATTTGCATTTCCCCCACTCATTTTCTCTTCTTCTCCCAAAAAAAAAAAAAAAACAAATCTTTAAGTTGTTTATTTCTTGAACTAATATCTGGCAAAATGTAACGGTTCATTTTCTATTAAAAAATAATATTTAGAGAGGAATTATTATTTCTTCAACTAAAATCTAGAAATTCGAAAATAATCGCCAGATTATTTAAATGAGCTTAAATGAATCATATTTTTTGTTCTTTTTATGTTTTTAAATTGTTGGATTGTGACATGAGGAAAAGTCCCCCGTCCATTTTTCCTAGAAAAAATAAAAGAAGAAAAAGGTCCCTTTTCTATGTTTGAAAAACATTTAAAAAGTCTAACTAGCCGTTGGCAGCCGAAATCCCCACATCTGCACCACCGACCTACGAGCTCTTTCTCTCTCTTCTTGTTCTTCCACCATCTCAGCTCCCTCAACCTTCCTTCTTCAACAAACTCTCTCTCTCTCTCTCTCTCTCTCTCTCTCTCTCTCTCTCTCATTCGCCCAGAACCCTGCAAAATGTTCACCGAAGGCCTCGACGAAAATGCAATCAAGTGGATCAAACAGGTACCCAAATCCCAAAAGCTCTTAACTTTTTAAAAACCATATACATAATTCATCTTTGAGAATCTAAAAATGCATGTTGAATCTGCGTGTTCATGTGTATTTAAGATCTTTATGGATTTCAATTGAATACCTGCAGGGATCAGAGGCTGAGCTACTTGAACAACAACAGCAACAACAACAAACACCACAAGCCATTCGATCTCCGCTCTCAGAGAAACTCACTTCGGAACCGTACCCAAAATCGCCTCTGCGCTTCAGCTCCAACATTGGAAGCCATGTTCTGCCTCCACTCAAGTTCCACGCTGGCCTCCTCGCACCTCATAGCTTGGTAGCTTCTTGTCTAAGCAGCGACACTGATAATGAATATGATGATAACGAGAGTGTAGCTTCAGTTTCTGATGATGGTTCAGCTGCCAATTACTTCGATGAAGAGACAAAACCGATGGAGCAGTACTATGAAGAAGAAGAGATGTTTGGTTACAAGAACAAGTCTAGCACAGGGTTGAATAGAGGGTTGTTGAAGGAGGGTCTGAGGATTGAATTGCCTGGAAATTGCAGGAGATTTACGGATGGTGAGGTGGGTTTCAAGAATAGATGTGCCCCGAAGACTTTGACACCATGTGCCGGCAATCAGCTTCTGAAAAGGGCTCAACTTCGTAATTTCAATGTAGGCCTTGATGCTGGTCTTTTTAGTTATAACTCAGAGTTATTTTTTTTGTAGTGGGTAAGACCGTAAGTGTTTGTTTGTGATTTTGAATCTTGGTTGGTGATTGTCTGGCAGTGTACTACCCCAAGTGGTGATGAATGTAGTATGCTTAGAGATTCAGCAGACTTGGGAACTCCAAGTGCGCCTCCCATTTTTGAAATTGCAAGGGACGAGAAGGGCTTTGAGGTTGAGAGTCAAGGGCAAGAAGCTTGTCAAGGGTTGACAGAGAGCAATGGAGCTGAAAATTGGACTTGCCCATCAAGGGGATCAATGGGTTTTGATGGGAGTGTAGACGCTTTAGCAGATTTGGATACTAGTTCTTTCAAAGCTTCTGAACTTGGTGACAGGTATTGCAAAAAGACTGGTTGCTCCTTGTTTTAGTATTTTTTTGTGAACTGTGACTTTCACTTGATTTCTTTTGTTTCTTTCTTGTGTTTTTTATAATTCGCAACATTTAACATTGTCTTCTGCAGAGCCAACAAAAGCATAGATGGAGAGACAGAAACAAGAATCCCTTCTTTGCAAGCCAGCCAATTAGACCATTCAGCTTATTATAATACCAGGTGCATCCAATGTTGAATTTCATATAAAGTCAGATACTTGTTTACTGCTACTTTGGTTTTAGTGGAGTTTTATTGCTTTATCAGTAAGAACTTAACTGTGTTTGCACTTCTACATTGAACAAGGAAAGAGTTGCCTTTCCAAAAATTTGATTATGATTTCAAATTTATTATATATATTCGTACTGAGTAAAACCCAGTTAGATCCAAAAGATTCTGCACATATATTAGTTTTGTCATTCTGAAATTTGAAAAACTATCTTTTTTTCATTCTTTTTATGGCATCTCAATTCATCATTGCAGTGGCCAATATGCCTGGCAAACCTTGATCGCACACGAGGCATGTATACGCTTATGCCTACAAGCATGGGCAAGAGGCTGCACTGAGGCACCCGAATTTCTACGAGATGAGTGCCTGGCTCTTCGGAATGCCTTTGGGTTAGCTACCTTTTCCTAATGCTAGATACTTTATTTTTTGAAGTGCTAAGGCTAGTTCTCGGGCTTTGTATGGGAATTTCAGATTTAAACTCTGATTATACAGGCTAAACACATTTTTGTTGCAACCCCGGGGTGTGCAACCAGTAGAAGCAAAGACAAGTAGGAATGCAGACCAAATTTTTCCTCCGAAGGCAAAGAAGGTGGTTGGAAAGATAAGAGTTGAAGGTGCGATCTTCTAAATGAATTGACTTTATAAATGAGATATTGACGAATGGGCTCGAAGTTACTTTCAGTTTAGGAAATTAACTGGATTTGAACTTCAAAACGCTCTTTTACCAAATTCAATTAATTGCTTTATATACAACTGTTTTCGGAGGCCAAAAAGTATGAAATGCTATCTTAACTATTTCTTAAAAGTAATAGATGGTTTCTATGCTAGCATTATTTAATCTTATCTTAGGATGTTAGGTTTATTTTGGACATTAAATTTTATAATTTAATGTGGTTTTTAAATGATGGCAGTGAGAAAACTTCGAGTAATACCAAGAAGGAAACTGAAGAGCACATATTCACAGAGAGGTGCAATGTACATACAAGCAGGGGCAGAATACGTCCGACATGTTTCATCACTAGTAAAAACTGGCATAAGTTCTTTAAAGTCATCGACATTATCAGTTACCACAGAAGGTTTGTACTGTACAAAAACTCTGGTGTTGTTCTTAAATCAAATTTTCTCTGAATAATTAATATGAAGGCACCATCTACTCTCTCTCTCTCTCTCTCTCTCTCTCTCTCTCTCTCTCTATATATATATATATATATATATATATATATTAAAAGCCTAGAGGTTTTTTGTTATTGATTAAGATAAGCATGAGAATATATCTATGTAGCATCCCTTGGTGGATCTTTCGTTATGACCTGTGATACGAATCCTGTGTTTCAATGGATGGATGATTGATGGTTATCTTTTAATGTGTGCAGAGACACTTTCCTGCATATTCCAACTTAGTAGTGCCACCGAAGACACTGAAGTAGAGTCAAGTTCAGCAATTTGCTTGCGCCCCGGAAGTGGTGATTACCATGTGTTGTAAGTTTCTATTTGACTAAAATGGAAAGTATTCTGTTTCTAGGCTTTAGTTTTTTGATCTCATGTTGTTAGTTATATTTTGATCCTTCTTTTTAATGGATATGCTGGTAATTTGCGTTAGTATTGTCTGTGGCATAATGTACCATACCAAAATGTATGTCAGCCCCTTCAAGGGACATTGGTTACAGTTTGAGAATTATGTTATGTTAAAAGTGGAGAAGATCTTACACATTCCATGTAATTTCAGTTTCCCAGAGAGTCAAGTGGACGCTCTGATGGTGGAAGTTCAAGACACGAAAAAATCAGTCCAAGGTCGAACCACAATTCCTATTTCATCCTTGACTGACACCACAGTATGCATCCTTCCCTATCATCCAATGTCAGATTTCCTAAAGGTGAAACAGTACCTTTTTACCATCCACATGTTATTTGATGTGATTTTTGTGACTATGCAGAATGATAAAGTTCGGTGGTGGCCTTTATACCATGATGATCAAGAATGCATTGGGAAGATTCAGCTCAATATTGGTAGTACGATCACAAATGACGAAGCTAATCATATAAAGGTTTCATTTCTTCCAACTCAACCGATACCCATTATAAGCAAATCTTGTCACATATTTTCTTTAGGTAGGTAGATTGGTGTATACTTACCCAGGTTCTCATCTATACTCTTTCACATATTATAGAGTGGACCAGTTGCAGAGACTCTAGCCTATGATTTGTTGCTGGAGGCTGCTATGCGGGCACAAAACTTTCATTCCCGGAACTTATGGTTAAGTGGACCTTGGAAGTGGTTGTTGACCCAATTTGCAGACTACTATGAAGTTTCCAAGTCATACACAAAGTTGAGGTACTTAGCAAATGAACATTTTGCCAAAT